ACTCCCTATGCTTTTTAGTATATTTCCTAAATGTCATTTCCAAAAAGTATAAATCAAGTGGAAAAAATGGGTTTAACCCTTAAGCCCCAGGTTAGGGGCTGTTGGCAGTAACAAATCGAGAATAAAATCAACTCCCCCAAAAAAAAAAAAAAAAAAAAAAGAAAAAAAAAAAAAAAAGAAAAAAGAAAAATAAATGGTGGGAAAAAGGAGGACATTCTGGAACATCACCTGGGGCCTAAGGGTTTAGCTGAAAGAGGGTGATATACTTTCCTTGCTATTCTGTCTGAAAACTATGGGGTAGGAACCAATTTTTGCAATAAAATGCATCAACCCCCCCCAATGAGTACTATATAACTTTACCAGATAAATCTGGCTCCTGTAAAATGGTCTAAAAGACAAAATACCTAAATCTATTCATACTTGTGTTTGGGTGGCGTAGCAAAACATTTTCAATTGGTCCAAGGTAAATTGGTTGAGCACAATAATGAACCCCAAACCCAAAATTGTGCCTCTTTGGTGATCCTTAGCTCCTACAAAATGATAAAAAAATAAACTCCAGAACTATTCATAATATGGTTAAGGCTTGTATCAAGATTTATCTGCACCAAGTTCTATATATATACAGGCCAGACAAACTCACTATACATTTATTCATCAATCATGATACAATCATTCCTCACAATAAGACCATTCACTTAATGTCATACAGGATATTGATAGCAACTCTACAAGAAAGTCCTTATGTACTAAATAAACCCCTGAGATGATTTAATATAAAATAAGAAGGTACCACCAAAGTTCCTATACAATAAAATTTTAAATCCATTCCCTGAACAAATACCAAAAGGCTTACAGTAACACCCACATACTTTAAAATAATAGGGGTTCTACCCTTTAAGAATTATAAGATTTTACAAATTATGAGGGACACCTTCTCCCGGGGGGAAAACAAACAAAATAACGGCCCTTTTTCGTTATCTGCCCGAATCAAAATTTAAACGTTTTAAGTACAGTACCAGATTTAGGGTTATCAGACATAATGGCTCAAGCGTTGGGCATTGATGGAAAAACAAGTGGAAAAAGCTTGCGAAGTAGGCCATAGACACGCACTCCACAACTGACCGACATGCGTATGCTTGTTTACAGTGAGGCGCGTGGTAGCATCCAATAGCGACACGTGCGTCATACATATTCGTAAATGTCTCTTATTAAAAATTTTAATATCTATTTCGTAATACACTACACCTGTATTTCAAAATGTCTCTCATATTTTGAAATTTTACCAAATACAGGTACAGTATTACAAAATTTGTAACAGCAAAACATTATGAATTATGAGTGATTTCGAACTAGGGGACTATGAATTATGGGGGTTGTACTGTACAGTACGAGACTGGATATTTCAAGACTTCAATGAAAGACCTTCACTTTTTGGGGTAATATGACCCTGCTGAAGGTGTTGTATATAAATAAATATAACAGACTTGTGACATTGCTTGTTTGAAAATCTCTGTTGGTGTTATATTTGTGGCACATAAAATTTTTCTCTATTAAATATTTCTTTATGTTGAGCACTTGCAATTTTTTCCTTTCAGAGAACTGATGCTTTTAAGAAATAAAACACCAACTATTGCAAGGTTGTCCCTGATTATAAAGTGTTTAAGGATAGTGTATCAACTTGTGAGGTGGACCATTAAAGAGATGAATAACACAAGATTAGTAGTAACTGTTTGAGGATACATTAGGAGCTGCTACCACGAGTCAACACGAACAACAGTAAGGGAAAATGTACAACACTGTAATATATGGAAACTCAGGCCTTTAAACAGTCTAGCCATATTTAGTCATAAATATCCTTCACTGGCAGAAAGTAGGCTTGGTTTTAATTTCATTTCAAGTTTACTCTATGTAATAAGTTGCTTCGTCCTTCATTTACATATTCACTTTGGAACTGCTTCATATTTTTTCAGCTTTTTCTTTAAATAAAATGGAATATCTACAGTATTTCATCCCACAATGGAGAAAATTATATAGTCACTGTTGGAAGCTGCCCACTGCTGGGTATGTTGAAGTAATTACAAGCAACACAAACTCTCATTCAATCTTTCTAACTGCTGTAACAGATGTACTCTACAACAAGATCCATACAACCCACGCTAATGAAATTAATAGCAGAAAGACATTTAAGCTATCTAATGTAATGTATAGAGATTTTAAAATTTTTGTCAGTTCTCTTATTTTATTCAAGGATTATGCTGCTTTCATATTGAATAAAAAACTGTTTTCAAACATTTTATTTAACATTTTGAATGTTTTAAATAATAAAACCACCCTTTTTCTCTTATAATACCAATTTTATTGATAAATAAACAATAACAGCATAGAAAATTACTAGTTGTAAAATTCTCTGAACATGTACAAAATACATGACAATTACAGGGTAGCAGGAGAAGGTGTTGTATGGAAGAAGACATCCTCCAGTCACTCACACTATTCATTATCCCAATTTATTCTCCAATAAACATTACTTATTATCCTCTATGTATCACTATTTTTTTATATCCGTCATGTATCAATATTGCTTACTATCCTCCACTTATCACCATTACATCATCTATCTCAGGAGTTCCTAAGTGCCTTACTAACTTGCTTTGGAGAAAAAAATATTTTCTACAGATACCTAACACTAAATTGCATCTTTAGTGTCTATTCACAATAACTAAATATGAGGTAGCATACTGATTGACCTTGGTCCCTAGAATGACGATAAAAATAACATGGCTATCGCAAGGGATATGACCTCCCACGCGACCACTTTTCATGACACTAAATGCTCTCTTTCTGTAAGTGACAAGTGATAGTTGACCTCTAACAGATTCTGATTACCATAACAATCACACTCTCTGCTCAACATCCACACCATCATACTACTAATAGTACATTCTTAGCATTCAGTGAACATCAAATGACAAGCCTGTAGCAGATTCTTAAAACATGCAACATGACAACACTGAAGATTTTGTCCTACCTATGGGTCAGTTTGTGTCTGTAAAATTTTAGTTTCACATATTCATATTACAGATTTGATAATGTCCAAGAGAGCTGTAAATGATATGGAAACTCTCAGGCAAATGGTCTGACTACTGTTAATAAATTTCTCCAGTATTTTTCAATATCTGACAGTTATTGATGACTTTCTGAGCCTATTCCATCTAAAAGTTTCATATATACAGCACTGTATACTCTATAATCTGTCATTCTTTATTTTGTAATGATCCATACAACCTAAATACTCTCACATTTATCACACTGGCCATGCTGCATGGATGAAAAGACAAGGTCATAAGTTTTGTTATATGGTATAAACAAGTGAGATGTATCATTCACAAAGGATAGGCTGAAGAGGAAAATTTTTGATTGTATAGTGAATGGTAGGGAGAGAGGTGACAAACCCTGTAAAAATGGGATGCGTTAGTAGCTGGACTGTTGACAACTAAGAGTACGAGAGGCTACTAAAAATTTTTCAAGATGATTCAGTGGGAGATCATATACAGTACCCCATAAAAAAAGAAAAGTATCAAAACTGGATTGTTGACATTTACATATGAATTTGTACCTCTGAGGAACAATAAGGGACTAGAAACTATAGTGGCCAATAATTATTTGAGACTACTGATGGATTTACTCCTACCTAATTCAGCTGGGACTGAACAAATATTGTCCGTGCAAATAAAGGCCATAAATGTTTCCCCTAATTTCTTACTCTGGCAAGTAAATAAATTATTAATGCATCATTCTTAGTTACCTCAACTCTACTAGTACAGTACTACATATTCTTCCTCTTTCTTTTATCTAAGTTTCATTTATGACTTGCTCTACTCCTTCCTGCCACACTTCAAGATCCATACTATGTTCATCAAACATACACTTGCTCATATCCTCAACTTGCATACACTGATGGTTAATAATCAGTAATTTTATTAATTACTCTCTTTGAAGTCTTCTTTTTGGGGCTACCTATTCATTCTGCCTCTTATTTAGTACAGTACTACTGTACTGCATTAATTTTACTTGCTACACGACCTGCATACTCAATGGATGTAATCTCTTGTCTTCTGTCCTTACTACCTGTATTACAGCAAGACTCCCTTCTTTAACAAAAATAATAACCTTACGTTTATGTTGTTTTTTCATTACAATTAAATTTTACATATCACATTATTATAAAGTGTATGAGCCTTTAATCCACAGTAGCAACTGGTGATAAGGCACTAAAATATTAAGAAAACATCCATTTAAATTAAAGCAAATAAACTTAATGGACTATTCTACTCTTGAGAGAGAGACATAATGTACAGCACTACAATGGGTGAAATCCAGTGATGAGACACCTTGTTAACCTATACTGTGAAGTGTGCAACATTCTGAAAATTGGCACTACAGTGTACTGAAAAAGGCTCATAACCACAAGGTATGCAAAAGTCATCTTCTTCTGTAAGTCTACAGTTAATGAAGCACTGATATACCTACACTAAATCCCAAAGACTATACTTTGTTGACTAATGGAAGAAGATAAGAGTTAAATCACAGTATAAAGTATATAAATTGTACATGAGCATGAACCATTCTGCTTGGTAGTGTGGCTACAGGTGGTTGCACCATCAAAAGGGTGGAGCCCCTAAAAGCCTGTGAAACCCTTGGTTTTGAAGTCTAGTTGATAAGGTTAGGTTAGGTGGAGTGCACCATCTCATTACCTTCTGCATATTAGAGCAAGCCCAAGTATGAGGAGTATTCTTTATGTTCTCTCACTAACAGCTTTGTGTTGATATGGGATCTTCTGCCACATCCCTCCACCAACCTGTCATGTTATAAGTGAATGCAATGCCTTTAAAGGCAAATAGCAAAAATTCCCCTTTTTAAGTTGCATAACTTTGTCGGTGACGATGTTAATTAACCCTAAATATATGGCACGACTATCTTCGACCATTAAAAACATGTACCTGTGGTTGTCTTCCAGCGTCTTGGTGTTCACCCTCGTCAGTTGCAGAGTAAGGGTCATACTGCTGCTGTCCACCCTCCATTTTCACTTGCTGTTGAAATTGCTGCCATTGCTGTTCCAGAGACACTGGTCTATGTTCCTGGTGATTAGGCCGGTTGGTGTAATAATTACCAGGTGGATGTAGTTGTTGTTGATCAGGCTTCTGTCCCTGGAGGATAAAGGATTTATATCTAAATTTTATCTTCATTCCTCTCCAACTTTTGTCTAAGGGTGGATCAAGGGGCAATAAAATCCCCCAAAAGGGGGGGGGGGGGACAACAGAGGTAGTGGTACAAGTGTAAAAGTGAGAAATCGGCCAAGACTATATACAGTAGGACATCAATACAGTTGTTCATCTCTTCAACATACACATGTAATAAAAGTGAATCTCATCATCTACATGATTCACAGTGTTTCATGTTAGTTCACTGTGCACACCATGAAACAATTGCACTGTTTGTGATCTACAGACCTGTTCAGGCACTATATACCAAAACAATTCTAGAACTCACTTCCTTAATGAATGTTTTCTTTAAATTGTGTGATTTGCATTATTTATAAAAAAAGTGTTTGATACCGAGACAATAAATCTAAATTCTTCCCTTGACAGAAAAACAGTACAATATATATTTCTAAGTGACAGCAGTCTGATGTAACTGCAGTCTACAGCCTGACAGTGCTAAACAGAAAAACTTTAGACCAAAGATCAAGAATGTGGCAGAGAAATAAAATTTGCCTTTTCTTTTCCTATCACTCTTAAGTCTTCTCTTACTATGCTGCAGGATTACTTGTATAGTGGGAAAAAACCCCACTCCTTTCTCTTACTCTCATCCATCTCCCTTTAACTGCTCTAATATCTTAATTTAACCATTCAACATCATGTTCTCCTTTCATTCAAATGCACGTTTGCTTCCTGGATGTCTGTTCCCTTCACTTTATTTAATAGAGTACAGTCGTCCCTCAATAATTGCAGGCATTAGGTTCCTGAAAACCCCTATGGTTGGCAAGACTAAAGGCTTGTAGGAAATAGGTTCCTTGGCCAAGGATAACACTCGTCAAAGCCCAACTAAGTTGCCTGTTCCTTCACTATACAATACCTGTATTGTACACTCACTAAAAGATTATTCTGCACCTTTATGGGTTTATACAATATGACACACCAGACCAAGAAATCTGATAACACTCACCACGGCTTCTGTTGCAGTGACCGCTGTGGATGGTTTCAGAGACACGGGTGCAGAACATTTTTTATTGAGAGTACATTTACTGTAATTGAATTTGAAACCAATACATATATAATTGCTCATTATAAATTAAAAAGTAAAATTAATTGCACAGTACATCTTTGTGGCGATGGCAATTTGCTTTAAAATAAGAAAAATGAAGAGCATGGGTGTGTATGAGCGTGAATTGAACGTATGTGCGGACTTGGAACACAAGTACAGTATTGCCAAGTTACACTGTCCCTGTAGCTCTCACCCCACCAGGCCAAGCTGTGAGCTGTGTTGTTGTTTTTTCAACTCAAATTTGAGCACATATACAAAATTTTCTTCATTTTCTTCTCTGTTATGCACACAATCATTCATACCGAATGTACAAAAAAATAAAAAATAAATAAAAAATAATTACAAAAAAATATATAAAATAAAATAAAAGAAATGATTATCATAAGGTCAAAAACATAGAGAGAATAGATGTTTCTTCATGCCCTAGAAATAGCACACAATTGTGGGAAGAGGGAGTGGGCTCCTGTCTCCCATGTCCTCAGTGAAACAATTGCCAAATGGCAATGCAGTATGTTTTTATTTTATTATACTTATTAGTAATATAAAATATATTCTTTATTCCTTACATTAGACCGCGGATGGATATAGATGCAACGCAAGTCCGCCAATACAGAAAACTAAATGGTATACAGAGTGACTACCACGGATACAATGAATCCACAGATGGGGGTTGGCGAGGGTCTATTGTATTTCCTCATTAAACATGTGTTCAGTTTGCCCTCTGTTGCTCTGTTGTTATCAAAGCACTTTTATAGTTAGGAATGCTTTTCAAATAAAACAAAAAATTTTGTCACTATGCAGTTAGCAGGGTGCGAGGTCAGAAGCTTACACAAGTTTTCCTCATGATTAACTATTTAGATTGCTCGTACACAGTAACATGAGTGGAGAGCAAGATCTTAGTGACAAAGGTAAACCTGTGGCTAAAAACTATAGGAAGTCGATACTTCAAAGTGTAAAATTAAAAGGTGATTGAGCTATGAGTGTGGTGAAGGGGCAGTGAGTGTTGGCAAGATTCTTAAACTTGCTGAGGACAATACGACCAAATATAGATAGAATGAAAGATGTAAAAAATATGATTTCTTTAGGTGAAACAAAAGTGAATTGTACACATTCAAACATTAAGGAGAACATGGAAAGATTATTGAAAATTTGGATTGAACATGACCTTCAACACATATACCTGAAGAACAAATAACCAAACTGAGAGTGAAGAGCCCTAAGTGCCCAAGCATTACTGAAAATGGAACATAATTTTGTTTTCTTCTATGATTTACTGTACCTGTATTTTATTTTATAACTAAATTAAATGGATTCATGCACCAAAATACAGTAATAAACCTATTTATATCATATTAGTGTTATTTTAATACTCTCCCCCTTCACTGTGGGGATGCCATTTTTAATATTATATTTGGCAAATGCCGGACAATTATATTCAGCAGAGAAGGGACTCAGTAAACAAGTGGTTAAATGATGAGTGAAGGAGGATGCATGTTGACAGTCAGACTAATTTTCTTTGTTTTGCTAGTGAAAAATATAACAGACCCCACCTTTTACATTATATCTTCAGGAACATTATTTTCATTTCACGCATTTTCTTAACACTTTTCAGGAATGCACCTCCCACATTACATGAAGAATTACTATACAATATTGCATTTCCTTCAACCAATCTTCTCACCCTTCTACTACCCACCCCAAAATTATTAAACTTTTTCACTAATCTTTCATTTTCCATTCTCTCATAACAGTTTGCAAAAACCTTAGTTAGATCTTGGTTCATTACATTACTTAACATGGTATGCTAGAGTATAAAAATAACCATCATGGGTGATTTTTTTAGCAATATTTTTTCCAGTTCTCAAATATACACCACCAACTGTTGTCCACCATCCAAAACTTCTATAGATGAAGTAAAACTTGTGTGAATTAGATGATTATGGGAGAGTATCAGGCTGTGTAATTTATCCTGACTGTTCAATATATACGTGGAAAGACAAAACCAGGTCAAAGAAGTAAAGATGGGAATGTACAAGGAAACTGTTGGGTTGACATTACCATAAGGAAGTGGAACATGGACTGTGGATGTTAAAGGAAAGTCCAAATTAAAAGCAAGAGAAATTATATGTTTAAGAGCAACATGTGAGGTAAACTGGAAGTGGAGAATAAGATGTAGAAAAACAAGGACATCTGGAAACTAAGTGGTGCTAAGCAGGGAGAGGGGAAGACTCAGGCCAGTAAACACACCCACTATAGCCTTTTTTGTTCTCCCTTACAAGGCATTTCCCACTACATCACAGGGTGCATAAAATGAGCATTTAAGAACTATTTTCTACCTCAAATTTAAAGTGACACATGCTTTCAATTTGTACATTAGAATTAAAAAAATAAAAACCTGGAAAGATTTGACAACAAGTGAAATAACTGTTGTATGCTAATACACCTGTAGATTTATATACACAAACATCAAAATAATAATGCTTTTTCATTAAGAGAAGACAGCATGCAGTGTAGAAACAAGGAATGAGCAAAATATGATATTTAGCAGCTTAAGGAGCTTAACCAGTGACCCATAAAAGTGAAAAGTCAAAACTAAATTATTTTTACATTTGAATAATCAGCATTCAAAAGAAACCAATAATGTGTTACTGGATATTAGAAGTACTGTAAACGTACTTCCATTATTTTTAAACACTCAAAATTAAATATAAGCACAAGACAGAAAATATAGGAGTATGTTACCTGGTGGCGTGGCTGTAGGTGATTGACTGATAGATGGCCAGGCATTACTCCTGGTCCTGGGTAATCCATCCTTGTTGGTGGTCCACCTTCCCCTCCGACAGTCATACCCACAGGAGCAAAGCCCACACCTATTGGTCTTTGTTGTTGTGGTTGCACCTGGGCATAATGGTGTGAAGAAGCACTAGTTATTGGGGGTCCAGCATGACTATAGCCGTGATTTGCTTGATCAGATGGCAGGTACGCAGAGCTTACTGGCTGCTCGACGGAAGGTTGACTGACAGAGTATCCAGGAGCTAATGATTGAGCAGGTACAGGGCCTAAGTAAGAAGAGTGAGCACCTGCTTGTGACACTTGATGGGGATGCTGTGGCTGATGTTGCTGCTGCTGTGAGGTGGGTAACACTCCCGTGACCACCACTGGCTGTGTCATGTGCATCTGACCTGAGGCAACATTAGGATCTTGTGGAACAAGAAGACCAACCCCGGAAGTGGTGGTCATCGTGTTCACTCCTGGTGTTAACACAAAAGATACTGTTCCTGCATGAGCTGTCACAGCTGGGGGTAGTCCAAGTCCAGCTGCAGGTGGTGGCACTCCAAGACCCATACTAGTATTGGGTGGGGGTATAGAAGCATTTACATTAGGTGGGAAAGAAGATTCTGGAGGGCAATGGGGTGCCACACTAGTAAGTGAACTCGAGGTACTGATGGTATTTGATATAGATGGAGTTGGATATGAATTGCTAAGTCCCATTGATCTAGCCATACTTGACGGTGGGGCTATAGTATCACTGAGAATTGGCGTCTGATTTAAGGCTATATGATTGTTTCCAACAGACACTGATAGAGATTGTGGGGCCTGCTGCTGTTGCACCATGGGATTGGGAACTCCTTGTGGATCATGCATGGGATTTGGGTGTGCCTGATGATTTGCAGGTACTGGTGCTACAGGAGCAGCAACTTGTGTGCCAGTCGCAAGGGCTACCAAACGAGGACCTTCGGGAGTGTTAATTATTTGTGTGCCAGGAGGCAGTGTCACTAGTTGGGTGCCAGAGGATGTGTGCACCAGCTGCTGGTTTGCCACTGCTGCAGCACTTGAGACAACGGGGGGTGCTGTGAGGTGCACCACCTGTTGAGGTAAGGACACAACAGTGGCCTGTATTACCTCCTGCTGTGACATGACTTCTTGCGACACTGCTGCTCCACCAGGCTGGAGGTGTGGAGCTAACACAGTATGCATGACGCTGGCATTCACTTGAGGTCCACCCACCTGACCTTGAATGGGGACTTGAGCAGCAGCCATCTGAGGATGGCCAACATGAGGGGGAACCATCTGTGAATGAGGTGGTACCTGAGGTGGAACCATCTGGGAATGTACCATCTGTGGAGGAGGAGCTGGTGGTACATTAAGCTGATGTGGAGCCACCTGGACTGGAGTCATATGGGGTTGTCCCATACCACCACCTGTAACAAAATTATGTAAGCAATATATTTATTCAAGTTTTGTCTTCAGACTGTTTATAATATTCTCATATCATTAACGTATTCTACCGTTTCCTTGGTGTCCACCCCCTTACCTCTAGTGCCTACTTCACCCTATTCCAAGGTCTCCCTTCTACTACAAGTAACTAATGACAACCCATATTATTCATCCAATATCTTTAATTAATGCCACAAACAGCTTTCTTTCTTTGCAGATAAAGGAGAGGATTTCTATTCACATGATATTCCCTTAACTACCAAATCAAAATGCAACTAAATACCTGTAACATCTGGTTGTTGAGGTGGGGGTTGGGAGAACAGAGGAGCTGGTTGCTGCATCTGCTGTTGATGTTGTTGTTGTTGTTGCTGCTGCTGATGTTGTTGTTGTTGTTGCTGCAACTCCTGTTGGACCTCAGCAATAACAGTCTGAGCCAAATTTACTACCAGGTCCTTGGCTTGGTTGAACTGGTCTTGGTTGTCATGCCTGTTCAACATGCAGTTAAAAATTACACTCCAGAATTATATATTATTTCTAACTTAACATAAGTTCCTGAGATCTTTTTCATGGGAACTAAGAATATGAAGTTCAAAGTTAGGAGAGAAAAAAAATCCAACATGAACAGTAGCAATTTTATATTTTCAAAATGGCTGCCACAAACCATAGTTGCCATTTTAGAAGTGCACCAAAAACATGTAAATCTGTAACAGACCTTGAAAAGATCCTCCCTATAAAGCTTCATCAAAAGTATATTGATTAAACAAAGGGAGAAATGAAAAGAAAGTTTAAGGACAAAAGATGGCTACAAAAAAGTTCCATCACATAAGCTACTCTGGTCTTTGGTCATATAAGCTAATGAAAGTAACGCTAAACTGTTGTGGAAAGGAAACTAGATTCTCCTATTAGAAGCCATAAAAATCTCTTGCATCCACTTTCTTACCCCCAGTAACATCATTCTCCATCAACAACAACTTGTGCATCATATTAACTTTTATTATGAAGATGTGTCACAGGACTTAGCCCCTTGTGTCTGGGGTTGCCTCTGAGCAGCATAAAATTGCCTGGCATTAGCTAAATAAAATATCAAAAGTAGGGTCCCCATAGTGATGGGGTTAAGTATATATAGTAGAATAGAATCAGCTCTTGCTTTTATCATTGCCTACAAGACCAGTAACTATTGAGCACATTATAAGTTAAGTCAGACATATCAGGATGAGAGTGGGAAAAAAAAAAGGAACACTGCAAAGATGGATTAAAAAGCTAATCCCCATCCTTTGGGAATGGCAAAAGGAACATGATAACACCAAGTTGTCAAGTATTCATAGCTAATCCTTGCAAGTGTGGAAAATGGCTGTAAAAGGTGATTATTAATTAAGATGACTAAAAATACAACATAAGGGCAAGAGTTTAATCTATATACAGTAAAGTATGGTAATAATCTAGTGCTGAGTAATTAGGGAAGGACATGTTCCTGATGGGCGAAACAAAGAGATGGTAAACCAGATAGATATTTGGAGATTTGTGGAAAGAGAATGCCAAAACTCATCTGTTACAATAAGAATGACAGAATAAAACATATTTAAAGGATCCTCAGTGTGTGTGTCTGGTCTTGCATCGAGTCAAATTGTACATTTATTACAGAGACTTGGCTTGAAACAGTTCTGTATTAAAAAACTTACTCCAGGTAAAAGTGCAAAGAGTCCTGTGCCTCCTGGCCAGTTCCATGTTCATGATAACCAGAGCCAATCCCACGGATAGATATGGCAACCCCAGTCTCTTCTTGAATGTAGCGGAGATTCATTCCACTATCTCCTAGCAGACGAGCTCGGATGTCAGTAGGATTAAGGCCTATATTAACAGGAAGGAATACCTTTTCCCTGAATATCTGAAAGGACAGACAAAAATGTTATTACCTGTATATATCCAGTACAGGAAAGCTTGACACACATATATAGATATACAGTCATCCCATGGTTATCACGCCTAATTGGGACCACGCCGAGTGCATGATAACGAAAGTACAGAACCTATGAGATTTATTCTAATTGGTTCCAGGCACCAAAGACCCAAACCCTAGTTTCCCATTTTATGACCATTTAGACCCACTATATATATATATATATATATATATATATATATATATATATATATATATATATATATATATATATATATATATATATATATATATATATATATATATATATATATATATATATATATATATATATATATATATATATATATATATATATATATATATATATATATATATATATATATATATATATATATATATATATATATAATGTTATGGTAATTATCATAAACACACATAGGCATGGCTAGGTTTATTACAAAGTGATGAAAAGGGTACGCTCAATACTGTACAGTGGGTAGTCCACAAAACATGTAGCTATACTTTCTTTATTTGAGTGCCCCGTCATAGAAGTCCGTTTTCTCTCGCTTCAGGACGCCCGAGTTCTTCGTTTTCTCTCAATCTTAGAGTGCACCAGACTTCGTTATTCCTTAGTAATGACACAGAATTTGAAATTGCAACCCCAATTGCAACTGGGGTTACAATTGTTGAGGCAACTAGATGTCTGATTACAGCAAATGTGTTATTGTCAATTTGTAGGTGAAATTTTTTATCCTCAATAGATGTAGGTTAACATTACACCTGGAGGCAAATGCGTGATAACGAAATTCTCGGCCTGAAAAATGTGCTATAACGGCAGGTGTGCAGATTTTGATGGAGGCGTGATCATGAAAATCGCGATAACCAAGTGCGCTATAACTAAGGGATGACTGTAGCTTCATAAACATAGAAATATAGTAGCTAGATAAGAGAGGTACATGCACTGGGTAATTTAAGATACATATAGCTTGCTGAGCTGGGGAAGATGGATGAAGATGCAATAGCACAATCATGACTAAGAATGGGCAAGACATGCCCTGAAGGCGCTCCCAGTTTGAGCAGCCAGGCCAAGTCTGTTTGCCCCCCCCCCCTTCTCCTGCTATATCCCAAAGCCCTACCAGCCTTACTACACCGGGATTTATTCAGCAAAACATTCAAGTGATCAGTGAACGATTGACTACCAAACAGTGTTCCTACAAGTATAGTGCACTCCAAGGAAAAGCACAAAAACACAGCAGTGTAATACTGAGTGTGGCTGGATCTGACCTGACCTGACCTCACGGCTTCACCCAACCTAACCTGAAGGGTGGAGAACACCTGCATTGCCTCAAGCTACTGTCCTGGCCACATGGCCACATACCTGCCCAACCGCATCCAGCCCATACGAGCACGAACTGATTGCTCTAAGAACAGCCCAGTCCCAACCATTGTAAAAATTATCAACACCTAATTATTATATACCATATTTGTATCACTTATGGCACTTGTATATCATTTGTAAATCAAGACACACATTCCCCAATTATGTAATTGTATATTTTCAGCCTTCCGGCTGCCATGCTCTTTCAATAAACCGTTAATTATTATTATTATGATGCCCAGTTGATGAAGATATTAATAATCCATGTAAAGATAGTGAAGATAAATGACACTGCAGTAGTTTATACAAATGGCAGTCTCAGTGACAAAATAGAAATCTTACTAAATAATTAAATTTATTCATTTAAAACTAATTGTAATCAACCCAGGCCTTCCATATCCAGATTAATTTCACATTCACTAAGAAGAAACTAACATTTGACAGCGGAGGTGGAGGTTGTGTCTGAGGTGGCGGAGCCGACATGTCAGGCCTTGGTGGCCGAAACACCATAGGGCGAGGGGCTCGTGGACCACTACTGGGCCTGGGTCCCATCAGGCCTGGTGCGGGGTTTGGTCTTGGTCCTCTGGGTCGTTGCATGTTATGACCCTTGCGGTGACTGTGTTCCATGATGATGTGCATGATTCGTCCCACAGCCACTGTCAACCAATATATATATATATATCAGTAAAATGGTGTGTAAATTGCCCAGGGTCACTCTCAATTAGTAGACCTACTCAAAATTGGTTAAATTGTTGCCAGTACAGTATTTTAAATGAATTACTGGATTGGCCACCCAAAAAATTTCAAATCAGATACAGCCAATAAAATTGTGTACAGTTTTGCACAGCTTTCTTTATTATCAAAGTAAAACCCTGAAATAATATTTTATTCAATCAACAGGGGAGACAAATAACAATGATTTTAGTATTTCATCCAGTCTCCTCGTTAAATTTTCAAACAAAATACTGTTCAAACCTTATATACTGCACAGCCATTTCAACAATATTTTTTTCTCACTCTTGGAAACCTTTTCCTGCTATGGCACAGGTGACCAGGATCAATGGTAACACAGACCTTAAGTAGCACCTTTGACCCAAAACCAATCTGTTTCAAGCTGTCTGATCATTCACACACACGCACGCATTACTACATTTTTTTTGGCCCATTTCCTTCCCACCCAGAAAATATATTTACTTTCCATTCAAATAATTAGAAAAACTTGATAAAGGGAATTACTGAACACCTTTAACATCCTGCTGGTTAACAGCCTGAATGTGTAGATACAACGGACGGTCACCCGAATTCTTGCTCGGGTTCTTAAGCTCTTCAGGGTTCATGTAGCGGCCTCGTGTAGACACGGCGGCACCTGACATCTGCAAGGGCATATGTTTTGCTTCAATATAATTTATCCCTTGAAACACTTATTCAAGTGGGACACTCAAAATAAATTAAAATATTTCAAAGCGAGACTTACCTTTACTATCATAGTTACAGCACAACATTTGTGTTTGTTAACACAGGAACCATTTCAAGCTACACCCTGTATTCACAAATACCAAATAGTGTTCTGTGTACCATCCCAAGGAACAGTGAAAACATATCGGTCACAACTCTTCATACAAAATGAGAATTTCCCAAAGGATCAAGTCTTAAAATTTCTAAATCGTGTACCAAACAATTTATAAAAATTAAAATACTGTGTAGGATCAAATGTCTTCTAAAAGTTTGAACACACCAAAAGACCAAGAGTATGAACTCTGTAGTATGGATGCAATTAGGAGAGGAGCTACGAATTCAGTTAAATAAAAGCTTGAATTGTCCCAGTCTGAAAAATACCAAAATTATTATCAATAAACCAAAATGAAACATGACTAACCTTGCTAATTTCCTCTTGCGTGGACGACCGCGTGAGGAAGTTTCTGGCACTCATGGGAGCCTCATTGATGACTACCTCCTCAATGAAGAGGTCATTTGATTTGTTGTTCTTTGTCCTGCTCTTGTGCAGCTCAGAGAGCTTTAACTGACCTGACGCCACCAACATGGCATTAACCTATAAAGTAGATGTATAAAAGCAATGAAATTGGCTTCCAGGTTAGAGTTCACTAATGACAAAAAAGTACATACAGTAGAGTACTTGTATATGAATATACAGTACTGTAATATATTGGTAAATTTTAGCAAGCACTGACCTCCACACTGTCCTCTCAGGAGCAGCTATATTCCCACCTACTCTCTTTATTATTTCCCTTACTTATGACTGCCTTTACCTGCTCCTCTTTATCTACATTTTCTGTACCGGTATTAATTTCCTGAACTGATTTTCTTTAATTCTACACACTTATTTCTCACTGTAATCAAACAGGGTGGTAGTTTCTCTCAGATGAATAAACCAAATTGCATTAGCCTGAAAAAAAAAACACTGCCCTCTAAACATTAAGAATAGGTAAGAGTTTTTACTAAGTGTTTAAAGTGTTCTAAACAAGACTTTTCAGTTGAAGGTGACAATATTTTTCCTATGTGTTTTAAAATATTTCTTCAAGGATACCAGCATATACAAAGTCTTTTCTAAGTGAAACTCAGAGATTTGAAGTCTAATATAAACAACATATTTAACTGTAACACATAACCTTTTAAAATCTTATGCAACCCACAGTAGGGTGGGATACATTGCAGGGCATTAGCAGGGGAAAAGCTTCTTAGTTAGCCCCTTCACTGAGAGAGGAACCCATACACAATGGGTCAATGGAGTTTATATACAGTACATTACCACAGTGCATTAAGAGAGCTCAAGACCATAAGGTTCACATCTGACATTAAACATGTTATTAAATTTTTTAAACTTAAGATTACTGTACAAACTGCCACTACAACAAGTGAGAGTCAACCATGTTTCCCAAGCCATCAGGTAGAAGGGAGGGGTATTTTTAACCCTTAAGCCCCGGGTTAGGGTGAGACTGGCAGTAACCCCCCCCCCCCATAAACCAAGAAAAAAAAAAGGGCGAGAAAATAGGCGGACGTTCTGGAACATCACCCAGGGCCTACGGGTTAAGTAATTTTTTAAATTTCTTATTTTATATGTTGGCACTACAGCGTGAGAAAAAGAGAAAAAAAAAAAAGACTGCCAGCTCAACAGCATACTGAAAGTAATTCACACAATTTGAAACATCTTTCCACGGTACAGGCAGGGGTGCAGTGCTGCCGGAGCTCACCAGAGCGGCGCTCCGGCACCTCTGTTTTGATCAATCAATATTGCCGACGCCTTGTTCCCTCTCGGGAACTCCCCAACGGGGTGGCCATGGCAGAAATGTCTCCAGGCCATTTTACCCTTGCACACCTCACTTGCTCTCTCAAACACGCTTCCTCCCCTTCCCACCCTCTCTTCAACAAACTCCCTAACTCTTTTCTAACAATGGCAATTGGTCTACCCTCCCAACATTCCCCTCTCCCTTGCTATCATAAACTTTTTTTGGTTAGCCTGTCTTCACGCATCTTTGGCACATGTCCATACTACCTTAGTGTATTCCTCCTTATCCACTCCACCACACTACACACATGAAGTTATAGTAAGCTCTATATGCTATTTAATGTTAATAAATGGGACAATAGAAGTAGCTAACCACTAATGGCAAAGAAAAAAAAGATGGATCGGGAACGTCAACACATACATGGGCATTTAAGGATACCGCGTCATTTATCTTTTTAAGAATACAGTATGTACAAAAGATTCATTATTGTTTATTACTGAATACTTATTTGATTTAATTAATCTTTATATATGCAAAATGAACAATAAAATTCATAAATAATATGCAGAATATTAAAACACACAAGAGGATAAGAGACGGCATTGTTGTCAGTGTTTACACCCATAATGTCAGTTATCCACCTGAAACTGAAGAAAATAAGACCCTGGTTGTTGTTGTCGTAAAATTAATGTAAAAAATATGTATGTTTTAATTAATGTTATTTAATGTACTGTACAGTAGAAGTAACCACTGATATTAAAGAAAAAGGTGAGACTGATAGTGGAACGCCAATGTATATGTGCGCCCCCAAGGAAACATAGTCATTTATCTTAAGAATATGTACAAAAGAATCATTATTGTTTATTACTGAATACTGTATGTATTTGATTGAATTAATGGTTATACAGTAGTTTTATATAATATATATATATATATATATATATATATATATATATATATATATATATATATATATATATATATATATATATATATATATATATATATATATATATATATATATATATATATATATACAGCTAGACCCCGACTTACGACTGCTTCGACTTACGACCGCCGCAGGTGTGACCATTTTTTTTTCAAATGACACACGCACTTTCTATACCGAAACGTTTCCAGTTAATGTAGTCTCCATGTATAATTAGAAAATTATGGGGGCCCCATGTGCATTCAGCTGACTACATTAAAGGTAAGTGCTCAGTCACACTGTATCCATTCCTCATTATTCATTACTTTCACTGTGCTGTATCCATTCTTCATTATTTATTACTTTTACTGTACAGTACTGTATTTCATTGTAGATTTTTTATTTAAATTTATTTTATTTTTTTATCTATGTCGGACTTACGACCATTCGGACTTACGACCTGGATTTGGGTCCATAACCCCGTCGTAAGTCGGGGTCTAGCTGTATATACACAGCTCCTCCCCGACTTACGACGGGGTTAGGGACCCAAATCCAGGTCGTTAGTCGAAATGGCCGTAAGTCGAAAATGCTTAAATAATACATAGAAAATCGAAAATGGGTATCTCTTTTTCTTCTCAGCATCACAAAACACTTACTTTTAAGCTTGCCAGCCATTTTAAAATGAATTACAAAATTTTTTTTTGTCTGTGTACTGACTTTGGGACTCGAAAATATGTAATTCTATGAAATTTTGGTACGACTGAGGCAGGTCGTAAGTGCGGGTGGTCGTAAGTCGAGTAGGTCGTAAGTCGGGGAGGATCTGTGTGTGTGTGTGTGTGTGTATATATATATATATATACACAGGTTGACAATCCCTTATCCAAAATCCTTGGGGGCCAGAGGCATTTCAGAATTCGGAATTTTTCTGTTTACAGAATGGTTAGTATTTTTTTTTATGTGTGTATTAGCCCACCTGGGCACAAATCACTGACCCACATTTGGGCCTGGGGGGCAAAAATATAATTATAATTATAATTATAATTATTATTATTATTATTATAATAATAAAAATAATAATAATAATAATAATAATAATAATAATAATAATAAAAAAAATAATAATAAAAAAAAAATAATAATTCTTAGGTCTAGGTCATGTTTCTCACTTTTTATCTTTTTTTCATTCTTGTATTTCTTAATTATTATTATTTTATTATTACAGTATTATTGTTATTATTATTAATTTTATTATTATATTTTATCATTATTGTTTTATTTGGGTGTATATTGTATAAAAATTTTTATTTACTATGAATAATTATTATTACTATTACATTTTCGCTCCCAGGCCCCGATGGGCTAATCCCTGTTATAAGAATTACTGTACATTCCATAAGAATATTAAATTCGGTTAACAAAATTTTTACGAAATCATGTCAACATGTTTTCGCTTGCTCACCAGCTGGAATATTAGTCCGCCAATACAGTAATCGGTTCTAGGGCTTAAATTCGTTCCCATTTTAGTAAATATTAAGAAGGTTGTACTATTCAATAATTTTCCAAGTTTTATATTAACTTTTTTAGTCATTTTAAAACATATTTAACATAATTGAAGTACAGGAAACAAGTTTTTGGTGCGCCAATCAGCCACTTGACTCACCCAGCAAGGCGTCAGTTTGTATCTCTGGTCAGTGAAGGTAATATCTTGCTTTGTGACTCTCTTGAACATAAACTATTTTTACATTTTTACAGTACAATTATTGGTCATTCTGAAATTTAGTTTACATATAGACAATATATAAAGCAGTGCAGTGTTGATTTAAAGAAAATAATCTTGAATTACACCCAGTGAACTTAAAATTTTATGGGTGAAATGACGGCATGAAGCATGGGGTGATTTCTCTTCCACCCCCATTTCCTTCTCTTCTCCCTTCTCCTCCACCCCCACTTCTAATTCCCATCATCATCCTCATCAACCAGGAGCCTTCTACATACACACCTCAAAGTAAGTTTACTTTACTGCATTTATTTTTACTTTGTATGTAATTTTCGGTGAGCTGGAACCAATTACCCAAAATCCCATTGAAACAATGGTTTCGGTTAACGAACGACCTTCTGGAACGAATTGTGTTCGTTAACCGAGGGACCACTGTGTATATATATATACAGTGAACCCTCACTTTACGCGGTTAATTCAACCCACGGCGGCCCGCGTAAAGTGAGAAACGCGTAAAGTGAACAACATAACATATGGGATTAATTGAAATAGAGACCAGGCCGACTTCTTAATTTTATGATGGTATGCACACACAATTAATAATTAAGAGAAATATCAATAATATTAGGTTTTTTAACACTTACATTAGTAGAAAAGATGGCTGGGCACACGGGGATGGGGGGTTGGTTCTGAGGCAGAGGGCAGATTATTGGCCCTCATCTGTATCACTTGTATCACTATCCACCACAGAGGCTTGCAGGGCCTCTTTGTCAAACCCCTCAAAGTCCATATCCTCACTATCATTATCACTATCACTGACTTGGGCCGGCTGTGGTGGATGGCGGGTGAAGAACTCGGTAATGTTTTGATGACTGGGCGACCTTGTGCGCACCCTGCTCGCGCTGCTCTCCGCGTAAAAGGGTACACACACCGCGGAAAGTGAGCATTCCGGTTTCGGCAGGGTACCGCGTAAACGTGGAAATGCGTAAAGTGGGACAGCGTAAAGCGAGGGTTGACTGTATATACAGTCATGCGCCAGTTAACGTCTGACCGAACAACGTCCGATAGCATATACGTCCGTGGCCCCCAAAAACCGTGACACCTGCTGGACCACCACTCCACGACCCCCTGACGGAGACACGATGATCCTCCCCATACTG